AAGCAACTTTTTTTATAAAAAAAGTAATCATTTAGTATATAAATTAAATATAATTTAACTAATTATGAAAAACTAAAAAATATAGTCGGTCACATAGTATTCATAGGAAGTAGTAAAAAAAATGAAAACAACTATATTGTAAAACAAAACAAAACCTCAAAAAAAACTAATAGTATGAAACTGAGGAAGTAGTAAAAAAAATTTATTATTATCATAACGCATTAGATACTTAATAATTTAATCAAAATATACTCTTCTATTTTTTATGAATTTTAAGATCATGTTATAAATCATGGGTTATAGAAAATATAAAGAGCGACTTCGTATTTCTATCCAGATTGTGCATATATATTTAATTTTTTAAACTAATTTACATTAAAATTAAATTACCCTATATTGCATAAAATAAACAAAAATTTTTTTTTGTCAATATTACAGCATAATGTTATAAATAACTCATATAAAATTAATTATATTTTGTTATATGATTTTAAAGTTATACTATATTAGATAAATAAATATTATTTCACCCTGCATAAAGTACAGATTATTACTTAGTTTAATTATTATTCAAGAGTCAAAAGTAATTTAATATACACAAATATTGGACGTTGGTGAAAATGCTAAATCATATCATCAATCATGGGATATAAAAAATTTATATGGTGACTTCGTATTTCTATCCAACTATATCATGTGATATGCATGATATTTAATTTTTAAATTAATTTACATAACAATTAAATTATCTTATATTTTATAATAAATCTATATTGTCAATGTTATAATATAATATTATATAAATTTTACATAAATTTTATTATATTATATTATATAATTTTAATATTATATTAAATTTAAAGAAATAATAAATATTTTACTCCGTACAGGAAGCGGGTTATTACCTAATATATATTATAATATCTTAAGAAGAGGAAAAGTAAAATAAAAGCAATGTGAAACAGTGTAAGTCCACTTAGATTAAAAATATGAATCTGCCATATCTTTATAACCTCGACTTAAATATAGAAATCAAGAATCATGTACATATATATGCATAATATTTTAAGAAATGAGTTTAGTACTCTCAAGTGCACACTTTGTTTTACACTGAGAAAAGAAATAGAGATGTTCTTTAGAAAAAAATACTGTTAGACCGAGACTAGTCAATTAGTTTGTCGTAGTACTACTAGTAGTACCGTTCGTCTCATAGACCATGTTTAAATCTGAAAATATGAGTATACATATGAATTATAGACGACTAAAAAAGCAAATTGTTTATTGTTTTTCAACTTAGATATTGACAAAGATTTTCTTCTACTCGTGATGGGTCCGAAATTTTCGAAACATACAATAGCGCTTATGTAATGTCCAGATCACTTTCGATGTAGTTCTAACATATTTTCATACATTTTGTTTCTTTATTTTGGGCAAAATTTTCATACATTTTTAATATGTGATTTTTGTTTCTGTTATGCCGTTAGACTTTAGAAATGTTACCAATTTTATTATTAAACATATCGACTAATTCTAGAAACTACCAAAAATATTTTCATCCTTTTTACTCTTATGCGTTGTGAAGACTATTTTTTTTCCACTGTATCACATTTTCAAAGTACTTTTAGTAAAAATCAAAATATAGCCATACAAGACTTCATGAAATATTAGCCCTTTTTATATATAAAAAAGACTTCGTGAAATATATCAGAAAACCAAAAATATTTTGTATTATATAAAGGAAAATTCTATAAAAATACATCAACTAAATTTCGCAAAGCTTTTTAACACCTAACTTATTTTTATATCCAGTTTATCACTTTAACTAATTTTGTTTTTTGTCCAATTTAATATCTAACTTATTTTTGTAACCAGTTTAATACCTAAAAAAAAAGGACCAAAGCAGCATATAAATCGCCTTTCAAACCAAATAGAGTGACTCGAGGTGAAAGGACAATAACATGTGGCACTTGTAAGCGTGAATTTGGAGCTTGGGAAAAGCCACATCTTACCTCTCTTGATGTTGAACCAAAGCATTCAAATACACCATCTGAAAATGAACACATGAAATTTTTCTATTATATAATTACAAGTATGATATATATATATATATATAACGTATATCTTCCCTAGCCCTTTTTAGAATAATAAAAAAAACGTATATCTTCCAAGAAAACCAAAATGTGGAAATATAGCATTCGGTTTCCGCTCTTCTCGGTGTAATGTGAAATCCGCGTAATGTGAAAGACATTACTCTTGTAATCTTGTGTCGTCTTGGGTAAAAGACAAGAAATGCTGTTGTATCCAAAGACAATACGACAGAAGAAAACAAAAATACTTTAAGAGAATGAGACTCTGAACAACGAGTGAGACCCAGTACGTACGTAAACTACAGAGCCTTGGTCACTGCACGAAACCCTAGAGTCTAGAGAGTATAGACTAGGGTTGTTCATTCAGCAGATAAAATAAAGAATTTTGAAAAACATATTTGAAAAAACATATTCTACACATTATTTAAAAAGTAGAATTAGTAAAAATTGCTGATGTGTCACACTCACAATCAAAGTTAGTGTATTGTATTGATGACATATAAATGTGACATGTCAAATTTCCTAAAATAAACGAAATGTTTTGATTGGCTGAATTAAAATTAAAGAAACTTGAAATTAAACATAACTACACTAGATTATAAATAATTTTAAAGTAAAAAAAAAGATAATTATTATGATTAATTTTTTTACATATATTCATAATTAGATAAAGTATCAGTACAAAAAATTTACAATACATATACATATTTATATATTATAATTTCATATTAAAAGAAAAAATATATAATATTAGATTATCCAATAAGATAGTAAATATTATATATATTAATAATGTTTAAAGTATGATATATTCTTATTTTGTAAAGTTATTAATTTATGAAAATTTATAATAATAACATCTAAAAAAGTTTAAATTAGATACATTATTAAATAGTATAATTTAAAATAAAATAGAATCATGATACAATAATTTAACGAATAAAAAGATTTTAAAATAATAAAATAATAATTAACTTTTATTGAAAGTTTTAAAAGTAACATAACTTAAAATAATTTGTTTGTTCGAACCATTACTTATTATGGCAAATGAATAAAGTATATACTAATTATTACTATTTTATAGTATTAATATGACCATATATTTATATATAATTTTAACACTTTTTATACTGCTGTTTTTTTAAACTTACATAGTTTTGTTACCATCACATCTTTTCTCTTATCATATTTTACATAAAAAGAAAAGTTTATATCATATTCATATGTATATACGCATTTTCATTGTATATCGAGAATTTAAGATCATAAATAAAATAAAAATAATCGAATGAAAGAATAAATGATAATAAGATGAAACAAATATAAATAAGAAGTAAAAACAAACATAAATCTTTACAGTTTTAGTTTTTCGTAAAAATATTGCAGTTTGTTTGACAAAGTTATTTAAAAAATCTTAAAAAGATGCGTTATTTTTAATGAACACATGTATATACCAAATTTTATAATACACACTTGCTTTTATAAAAATATGATTTCACAAATTTTATAACAAATTCTTATTATAATTTTTATTAAAAAGGAAAATTACTAATGGATTATCTAATGTACTATATTTATCTTCATGGTAAAGTGAAATCTTATATTTTAATTTTTTTAGAGTTTTTTTGTATTTTTTGTTAATATTTAATTTAATTTTTAATTTGAAATTATATATCACAAAACGCAGAAAAATAATTTACCAAAAAAAAAAATCGCTGAAAAATAAAATTTTTTGATTTGATACTAAACGATAGAAATGATTTTCGTGATTGTTGATAAAAGTCAAAAATTGTATTGTGTAAAAACATAACGTTTACGAAAAATATAAGAAAAATAACGAACACCTAAATATTACAATTTACTTATTTTTAGCTCATACTTACATGCATATATATACATATTTATTTCTTTTATAAAATTCAATCATAACATATTATATATATATGTATATATATATTACAAAACATATGCATTGCTATTTTCTTTTAACACATGAAAGCCATACTCGTTTTTTCCACAAATGTGCGTATGAATATAAATATTAATTATGCAAAAGTCAAACTCTCATACGAACTTGTCGTCCATGAAATTTGTTTACCTCGATTACAGTGCAACCATCTACCCGCTTTTAGAATAAGTAAAAATAGTAAAACCTAATTTGGTTTAATTAACAATAGATAAAAATATATATATTATGTACGAATAAAGTATCATCAATATACAATATTAATCATATATTAAACATATAAATTATTTTATAGTCTGCATACGGTACGGGCCGATTACCTAGTAACCATTTATATTTATGTCTTATCAAATAGTTCGAACACTGTGAGTGACTACTAGAAAAAAATTTCGTGAAAGTGTGCAGCTAACTTTAACGAATTTTTCTTCTAATTTTAACAACGCGTCAAATATTTTAACTGTCTAATCATCTAGGAATCTCTACCTCATTTTTTTTTTATTAATGCGGAACCAGTCTTTGATAATATATTTTTAAAACATATTTCATTCACCCCCAATGGATCGAGCTAAGAGTGCAAGGTTTAATCTCCTTAATTCAGAGAGACCGAGCCAATGCGCCACAAAACCACCAACGACTTAGTAGTTAGTAGTGAGTGTACTCATCTAGACTTTCAATATACCGATTTAAAAGTTAAGTTATTTGATAATAATTAGAAAATTTTCGGTGTAAGTGGCAGATATTTAGAGTCTAATGTGGGATAATTTAATTAAATGAAAAAAAAATTCAAATCATACTTTATAGTTAATATGCTCCCCTAATAAGTGATATCCGGTTATATTTAATTTCTGGTTCTATAAAAATATTAATAAACGTAGTGAATATAATATTCTTTTATTATTTTCGGTGGGGTTTACACTTTTGTAGAATATATTGGATATTGAGGATAAAAGAAGTTGAAAGCTCTATATGACAGGCATATGCGCCTCCTTTAAGCAGTCCATGAAGTTTCACTACTTTATATCTCTCTCTCTCTTCCTTCTTCCTTTGTTCCATAGAACCCTTCATTAAACCCATTCTCTTCTCTCTTTCACTCTTACATTTGTTTAGACAATCTAAAGATCTCTTTAGCTTAATTTTTGAAAGACAATGGACCAAAGCAATGCTCTTCTCACTTGGACTTACTTCTCTCATGGAAAGGTGAACATTTTCGCTTCCTCTGTTTTTTTTGCTGTAACTTGTAAATAGTAGTGATGGTTTTATTTGCTTCTTCTTTTGTTGTTTCGCTGTTCTGCTTAGATCTACGGATAATGCATCTCCAAAACCACAAATTTCTTCTGAGTTTTCTCTGTCGCCTGTGTAAAAAAAACAAAACCCCTTAATTTTACTCAATTGCAGATTTTTAAAGTCAAAATTTCATAATGGTAACTCGTAATCTGCAACTGGGTTACTAATATCCTTTCATGGGTTTTGAATTAAACTTAAAGTCACCATTTTTGTAGCTTAATTTTGCATAATGGTTGTTCTTAATTCTGCAATTAGACGACTTTTCCTCGATGGGTTTTGAAATCGGAAATTTTAGAGTTTGATATTTCGCATTTTGGAATGTTAATCAGCTAAAAAGACAAGCTTTTGAGGAAATTTTGCTGTTGATTGCACCTTAAACCCTAATTTTGATATGAATCTCAAATTTAGGGGTTTTCAATGTTCCTATGTTTATTTTCTGATTGTTTTTTCTGCTAAATTGTTCAGACAACGGAAGAGCTAAGACAAACTCTTGTCTACACGACAATGGAGCTAGAACAAACGAAGCTAGTGGCTCAAGAAGAGCTAAAGAAGAGAGATGAACAATTGATTCATCTCGAAGATGTTCTAACCAAAACCCTCAAAGAAAGAGACGAAGCTCTGGAGAAATGTCATAATCTCCTCTTCGACAATCTCTTGCTTCAACAGCAACAGAAACAGAATCATATCACTCCTCCTTTATCAGGAGCTTCAAGCATTGAAGACGAGCAACTTCAGCCGCAGCCGCAGATTCAATCCAACAAGAGCTTCTCGTCTTCAGACACTGAAGAAAGCATCATGTCACCGTCAGTGGTCGATCCGGTGAAGATGAACCAAGCATCTCAGGCTGAGATAATGGCTACATTGTTGCTGGAAAAGCCACTGCCTGAAAAGGGAAATCTCTTACAAGCTGTTCTCAAGGCAGGTCCTTTGCTTCAGACACTTCTCTTAGCCGGTCCTCTGCCTCAATGGCGCCACCCGCCACCGCCTCTGGAGACCTCTGAGATCCCTCCGGTGACCGTCTTACCACCGCAGTTTCAGATCCCGGTGGTCAACAACGGCTGTGGGAATTCAAACAAGAAAAGAGCTTTGTCAATCTCAGATGGGTCTAATTCAGAAACTAAGTATCAGAAAGTTTAACAAGAAATTGGGGACTGATCATCTATCCTTGCTCAACAAAAATACTAATAGTCTTCTAATATATACCATATACAGATCATTTTTTTCTTTATAGTATTAATCTTCACTTAGGGTTCTAGTGAAAGTGATATTTTTAGTCAGTTTTATGTAGATAGAGCTTGATGTTTCCTTTTCTTTTTTCTTTTAATTTGTGGAGAGTATCCATGTAGGGTTTAGATCTAGAATGTTGATGGGAATGAAACTCCCCTGGTTAACCAAGTGAGAGAGTTTTGCTATTTGCTTGTCTTTTGTTTTCTTGGTTTTTTTTTGGCTTAATGATTTTTGTTTCCTAAACCCAATTTCACATCATGTTTTGGCTCCAAGAATGTAAATCAATTGTGTTTTTTTGTTTACTTCTATTTGTAAAATACGAAAATCTAAAGCTAGAAAGCTAAATGGTGATGTATGTTTGAATGTTTAATTTAAGATTTCTAAGAAGTTAATGATTTGGGGGTGCTTAATTGATTCAGAAACTTCAAGGTTATATTCATTACAAAAAGTTTTGTTTAAGGTACTTAATGTAATATTAAATATTGTGTGGAAATATGAAGATGGGTGGGAAATGGGAACCGGAAATTCTATGGGTAAGCCAACAACTAATAGCCGGATCTTTGATGCTTTATAATTTTTGGGGGTTTGGGTGGGTCCTAAAGATCTAAAACCGGATCTCTTTGTCTATGTGCTAAAAAGCTAGGGGTGGAAAAATTATCATATGGGCCTTAATACATACATTATATAAGTCGAGATTCAAGATTCTATTTGGATCTCTTAAAATTCAGATATGTAGAATCTAAACTGATTAATGAAACTGATGTCTCGTCTTGGCTCCCGAATCAGTTTAGTCTAAGTCGGAGCGAATTTCCACTGGTCGAATTCTTTTTGCAATGGTAAGAGAAAAACAAAATTTCGAAACATTGGTGTAGTGTTTTTTTTTTATTAGTGAAACTGAAAGTGGATGCGCTATAATTATAGTATCATATACTTAAAATTCAAAAGCAAAATACATGAACATATATTCTCTTCTGTAGGCATTTAATTAATATATGTCCAAGTACTGGTTATGATTTATTATGCTTAAGGAAAAAGTTAAGAGTGATCTATATAGATTGTATACTCTATTAATTGGTCTTTTCCTTAAAGAAAAAGATCAAAACTTGGTCTTGTTTAAAAATTATTTCAAGACTATTATAGTACTTATTTTTCTTTTTTCAGACAAGAGAATTTTGATTGTACAAAATATTGGTTTTTTTCTCTTTCCATGACTTACAATGTCATGATTATGTTTATTGTTTTTTTCTTTTCTCTGGAGATGGTAAAGAAAAAATAACAAAAACAAAATTTACTTAAGGAAAAAACATATACAAACTATTATATTATCATTACGGGAGCCAGATGAACATATTATTAATATAGTGTTTGTATGCTTTAATTTATTTGTTGTAATTAGAATGTAAAACCGTATTTTGTTTTTTTGAATCACATTTTGTTTTAAGTTAGTAGTGTTGAAATTAGAAGTTTCGTATCATTTGTCTATTATATTTTGTTAATTGAGAATTTCATTTACATAGATTTATAAAATGTAAGTAATTCAAATAATTTATAAAATTAGATAACTCCACTCTGTGTGTAGAACAGACTAAATCCTAGTTTTTATTTATTTGATCCATTTAAGATAAACGAATAGTTTATATAACAATTTTATTATATGTTTATGACTATTTTAGTAAAGCTGCTATTTTAATTTTATGTAATTATAAATTCGGATTTCATATTGTAGAGGGGAAAATGCGCATATTCTAAAAAAAGCTTTTTACATTAATTCAAACTTACAAGAAAAAATGACATGATCACTTGAAATCGTTTTGTTTAAATAAAAAAAAAAATTTAGTATAAAGAAAACTTTATAAATCTAACAATCATGAGATTTTCCTATTCAGAGAAGGAAATGAGTTTGATGAAACTGACCTCCTATCCATATAAATAGAGAAGGGTATCATAGCTTGGAATCTAATCCGAAATACCTAAGAGAGAGCAGCAAGAGAAGACATTGATCATTCTAAAAACCTTCTATTTAAACATTTAGGTACTTTTACTTTCACCTCGACTGAAGCCGTTCGTTGTAATCTCTGAATCCAAAACTAATAAAAATATCTTATTCTCTAAATTCCTAAACCGTTATTACTTATTCGATTAGGTGATTTTTTGGTTGAACAATTGGGCCGTCTGTGGGGACTAGAGAATAAATTTTTTTTTAAAAATTCTAGGGTGAAGGATGACCAACAATGCTGATACCGAGACTCACAATCAGCAACCAGGACTCGATGCCGAGGGGAACCTCGTTGCGTCATCAACCGACGATTTAACTAAACCAGGGAACATACAGAAGACGAAGATCGAACGCGTTAAGAGCCACCTCCGACCATATCCACCTCAGTCACCTTGCCCGATTTGGTCTCTCTGATGCAATCCATCCTGCAACCGATGCTCCAAACATTGTCCGACAAGTTCGACGTCATGAGTGGACGACATAACCAATACGACGAGCAACTCAACTCGCTTGCCATAAATACCAAGGGGAAGCTTACTCCAATAGTGCAACATCTTTTCAGGACCTCCCCCCCCATCCCCTCTAGCCAGATCTGGACAACGGCAGCCATCAGAGGGATCGAGAACTCAAGCTGCCCTAACAAGACTAGCACCGACGTGGCCAGCCTGCAGGAAAAATTTGACGCAATTGGATCTAAGGTGCACCAAGCTACGACCTCGGCTCCACAAATCTCAAAAATTCTGCCTGACACACATTGAAGCCCTTTTGCTCCATGCATCACTGGCGTCCGCCTCAGACCCACGATAAAACTGAAATTAAATTACTATACCGGGGTGGAGAATCTCCAAATCTGGCTCATCAGTTTCCAGATCGCCATGAATAGGCAGCAGTTCAGTTCTCCCAAAGAGAGAGAAGCAAACTATTGTTAAACCTTTGTTGAGTACCTCAACAAAGATGCATTGAAGTGGTTCTCTAACCTCCGCCCAGGTTGCATCAAACACTACAAAACCTCTCCACGACCTTCTTGAAGCACTACTCAATTTTGATAACCAAGCCGACAATCAACCTGCTCACCTTATCGTAAGGAAAGAATGAGTCGCTTTGAGACTACAACGAGAAGTTCAAAGAATCCGTCTTATCTTATGTGAAGTTCCCCGAGGAGTTAGGTCTGCAAGCCCTCGAAAACGAACGATGGTACCAGTCTGACTTCAAGGATGAGCTATAAAGGAACCCGCAAGGAACACGATACCACATTGCAACATTCATCAAAATTGAAGAAAACAAGAGACTTCCTTCCCTGCTCCACACATCTCGGCTTGAGGCTCTCTCTTCAGGAGATTCAGACCCGACAGCTTGCATTAGCTCGTCTACGATAGGCCTGACCAATCGACACAATGAGCTAAATTGCTCGAAGTTTAAGGGAATGACCCAACAATTATCAAAGCAAAAATCATCGAGACAATAAAGAAGGTGTAACCTGCAAGGAGGAGCGAAATCCTCATTCGAAAAGATGATATCACTAATGGCATCACCTTTCGCCTCCTACTCTGCTTTAGCCATCTCGAAAGAAGCAATTGCACCGTCAGAGATTTCCCAGCCTCGATCAGTAAGGTATGACAAAACGTCATCACTTATCTGCTCCCCAATAATCAACCTTTCAACGGTATCCCATTGATCCAATGACTCATGAACTTCTCTACGCGAGGACCATACCATGCCAACGCATTACAGTGAACCTCCTCGACGATGCGATGAGCCATCTTCTTTTGAGATTGACAAAGCCTTACCATTTTGGCAGCCACCTTCTCCGTATTAAAAACAGCTTCTCTTTCGAGAACCTCAAGTCTTAACTTGAGCTTGGCCTTTTCATGTTGAAGTTGATCCGTGCCCAACAGTTTGAGCTGCAGCTCTTTGTTGGCGATATTGAGCTCCAAATTCTCAAACTCGAGCTGCTTCGCACGCTTATCAGCACGTCTAAGCGTTTTAGCTTGTCGGAAGATCGCTCAGTCACTGAATCTCAGGTCACGACCATACAGTCATACGAGCTAGAAATCATCGAGTAGACCTCCATTGCCTGTTAAAGAAACCAGTGTGGTTAATTTTATACACAATAAATCAAGGAAATAGAACAGAAAGACTGGGTAAAAGAACAACGAACCTGAACTATGGGATGCGACGCCTCAAAGAAGGTCTCAAGAATCTTCAGCTCCTCAAGTTTACAACCTCACCTCGGGTTAGGTCTGTTGTTCCAAGCCAGCATGGTGGAAAACCTCTTGTCGAACATAAAAGGCGTCGACTGGTTACACTTCACATGAAATGAGTTAGAATTATAACCGATCTGATCTTCTAACCCGGACTTGACATCGGCAGCCTCCTCCGGTGCCAGAGGAACATCCGGATCCTGCAGGATCCTCTTGAAACCAGTAGCAGAAGCATTAACATCCTCTTGCTGGAAACTTCCTTGAGGATCTTTGATACGATCCTCAAAGGCTGAGGTTCATTTTGGTGAAGGATGGAGGCTGAAAGCTGGACTAAAGTCACTCTTTTTCAGCCGGTCGGATGGAATATGGTCGAAGCAGAAAGATGGTGAATTGACTGACTCGCTCAGTCGGTGGGATGGCTGACTCACTCAGCCGTTGGAACTAGCCTTGCCTGAATCACACAAACAAATCTATTCCAAGAATCAGTAGAAACAAAGGAATCTCTCAATTGAATCTAAAGACAAGTTTGTTTAAACAAAGAAGACTCTTTGAATAAAAAGAACAAAAGTTTATATTTTCTTAGATAAAAGTGGGTGTCTTACAAATGAAACAGCAATGAGCTTATATAGGCTCAGTACACGTCCTAAGCAATAACTCTAAAGAGAGAATTATGCAAAAATCAAAGAAAGATCAAAAAGAGAGATTAAAGGGATTTTTGACCTATTTAATGAGAGATGAGCAAAAGGCTGAATGAAAGGGATTTGTTGACTTGTATCTTGATAGCTTGATGATGAATAATCTCCCCAAGTTTTGCTTATCTCGGATTATGAAGGGAAGTAGCCGTTGGTGAGTTATGGAGCCAAGTGTAAATGCTTCCATATATGGTAAGTAGAAGTCTGACATGATCCGCCTGATCATGTGGGTGCTGGTGCATTGGAAGATGTTTCCTGACTCTCCTGGATTGTAAGATGTGTCTTCTAAATACTTAGATGTCTCTCCTGGTCGCCAAAGTTTGGTTTGCAAGTGACTAAACTCGCCAGCTCCTAAGTAAGGCAAGCAGAGCATCCTTCGGTTTAGAAGTTGAATAACTTTTAAATCATAATGAATTTTGGCATGAAACCAATTTTACTCGGTTCTCTGATAAATCAAGTTTTCAAAACATCCGGTTTCGTATCTTGCTTCATCGTGGTTTGGCC